AAAAAAAAAAAAAAAGCAACAACAGAAGCCAAAGGACACAGCAAATAACATTGAAAGAGTATTAAGATACCTATCAAATGAATCATAAACCCAGCACATTTATCTTTCAAGACAAAGACAGCATAATAAATATACACCTGAGAGACCTTCCCCCCAGCAACTTCCAGAAGGAATCTCCACCAGGAACATACTCTGGGAAGAAGCCTGGAAGGAGTCCAACGGGAAGTCTAGCACCAGGGGAGGAACAGTGAACAAATGAATGGCAAACACCAAGGACAAGTGGTGTCCTTGGAACTGAGGTGAACGATGCACGGCACTTTAGCAACACAGGCCTTCGTCCTCCAGTGCAAGACAGCAAGGTAGGTCACACCATCAATTCAGTAATTCCCATTCGAAATTAACACTACCTCAGGCCTGACTGGAATCGTGTTTCTGCTTCTGGTTTCACAAGCAAGCCAATACCAGAGCTGGAACTTAACCCCCCCGCCCCCCGTTTGTCTTTTTTTTCAGGCAAGGTCTCACTGGGTAGTTCAGGCTGGTCTTGAATTCACTATGCAGCCCAGGATGGCCTTGAACTCATGGCGATCCTTCTGCCTCAGCCTCCTGAGTGCTGGGATGACACATGTGCACCTGGCTCTAAAGCCCATTTCTTCACAGCCCAGGCTGCAACCCCCTGTACCCAGGAGCCCTTTGGAAAAACAAAGCTTAGACTGGGCAGTTCCCCTCACAGACCACTGCAAGCCACCCTGCAACCCTGCCTAGGCCTCCTCTTCCTCCAAGGCCAAATCCTCTGAAGCGCTGAGGGTGATCATCCAGTGTCCACCTCCCCAGCTTCACCAGCCTCTGTTGTCTCAGCTCAGATCACAGCTGTGTTTCACACAAGTCAGCGAGCCCACAAGCATCGCACTCAGTGGAATCATTTTGTGCATGACTTCCTGTTTTTCTGCCCTGAAAAGACTACAAACCCCTTGACAATAAAACCATGTCTCTATTCTTTTTCTCTTTTTCTTTCTCATCTCTCACCCAGCCAAAATAGCAATGGGCGAAGCTAGCATTTTATTTCCCCTCAAATGAGATGTCACTGGAGATTTTCTGAAGGCAAACAGCAGCAGGAACACATTTCCAAAGCAAAGAAGACTTGAAGGAGACAAAGGACAAATCCCACAGACAATGAGACCCCTCTGAGGACCTGACTCTCGGCTGGAGGAAGGCCAGGGTAATTTTAAATTTAGAAGTATAGATTTCAGACACCAGTTGTATTATCACACATTAGTTTTTAAAACACCCATACAACCAATCAGCTTAACAAAGACTAGTTGAGACATGAATCCAATTTGGCTTAGACATTCAGATCATTCTCCTGGGGAGCTAAAACAAATGAAAGAATACCTTGCCAGTTCCGGGAGGTCCTGCCAAGAGGACGGCTCTTCCGGCCATTTTCTTGCTTTTGATTAATTCTACTATGACGCCGCATGCCTGCACAGGAGGGAAAGAAATAATCAGTCAGTATTAAAATGCTTCACGGGGGAGATTCAGGCCCTGTCTACACAGCGAGCTGTTATCGAACCAAGCCCCAGGGCTGACCCTGCAGAAGCTATTCTGGCTGGGCCAGGGACAGCAGAGGCACAGGAAGCGCTGAGCTCCACCCTGGAGGAGACAGACACACAACACCACTACTGAGAAGAGGAAAGGGCCACAGAGAGTGAAAGAAGGCGGTATCTGATTATATTTGATTTTCGAGGCTGCAGGAAGGGCAAAAGAAATAGAGGAGTTCAAAATACCCTGGGCTGAGGTATAGCTCAGTGGTAGAGCACTTGCTCAGCAAGTATGAGGCTCTGGGTTCCATCCCCAGCACTGCAACAAAACAGAACAACTCATACAATAGCAACAAAAAGGAGGGGTGTGGTTTTGTACACCTATAATCCCAGTCCTCAGGAGGCTGAGGCAGGAGGATCACCATGAGTTCCGGGCCAGCCTGGGCTACACAGCAAGATTCCACCTCAAAACAAAAAAACAAAGCAGGAGTTTGGTAAGTCCAAGAGACAGAAGGTGACAGTAACCAAAGTGGAGGAAAAGAAGATGGGAAGACAAGCTTGAAAAGATAGGGTCAAAATAAAGCTATAGAATGGAAAGCCTACTGAAAAGGTCTCAGACTGTGTGACACACTGTGATTTCTACTTAAAAGATTATACTGGGTCCAGAGCTGTGAATCAGTAGCACAGCATTTGCCTGGCATGTGCGAGGCCCTGGGTTCCATCCCCAGCACCACAAAAATAAAGCAATAAAAAGAAAATAAAAGACCATCCTTGCTGCTGTGTGAAAAATGGACCACAGAGTGGGGTACGGCCGCACACCCAGATGGCACACGCTTATAATCCCAGCAGTCAAGATGCTAGGACAGGAGGATCACCATGAGTTGGAAGCCAGTCTGGGATACATAGCCTGAACTACACAGCAAGGCCCTGTATCAAAAGCCAAACAAAAATGAAACAAGGACCATAGGGATGCAATGGAAGTAGTAATTTGTAGCCTGGGGTATAGGGACAAGGCTCCACAAACCTCCTGAAATTGGAAACAAAATTGTGTGCGCATGTTCATACGTACATTTCTCCAGGGAAAGGACCCAGAACTTTCATCAGACTCCCAAAATAACCTGCTAAGGCTTAAGGACCTGGACATAGTGGCACACACCTGTAAACCCAGCACTCTCGAAGGCCTTGGCAGGAGGATCTTGGCAACTTAATGAGATTCTGTCTCAAAAAAAAAAAAAAAAACTCTGACAATGTAGCTCAATGCATAGTATTGTCAAAGAAGAGGAAGAGGAGGAAGAGGAAGAGAAGGTGGCTAAAGGGGCATGGAAGGAAGGGAAAGGGGAGGAGGAGAAAAGAAGAACCTATGACCACCTACAGCCCGTGACGACCTTACACAAGATTTGTTAGGCTGATTTAATTACCAAACACGTGAGGATCTGAAAGGCGCCTTTTCCTTGCATGAATCCAGGCCACACCGCTATCGCCACAGAGGGACCACACTGCGCCCCAGTGACAGGAGGCTCTGGTGAAGGTGCTGCACACACCTCCTCCATCCTAGGCCCACGGACCGTGAAGCACCGGGGTTTCACAAACAACCCTCAGAAACCATGTGTTCAAGCAATGAGTCCGTGTTCTGTTCCACTTCTGCTTCACCTAGCAAAGACAGAGACCTAACAGCTCCTACAAGACTTCTCCAGATAAAAGACCCTCTGTAATCTCTCCATACAGTGATCCTCCCTGTTGGAGCTCTGTCTACCCCAAAAAGGGAGAAGAGACTTTCTAAACTGTGAATATGTACTTGAATTTACAGACTGAGACCTCTTCCCTTCCTTCTCCCTAAGTTCACACTAACTTCTCTCCAATGAGATATACTGTGAATTCTGACGTTTCAGACGAACTGGCGGAGCCTGTCTAACACCCTCATTTTTCAGATGAGGGTAGTGAGTAGCAGAGAGGCTGCTGATGTGAACAGTCGTATAGGAACCTGGAAGCACAGGTAGGTCAGGGCATGCAGCACCAGAACAAAGAATATGGAGTCATGCAGACTGCAGTCTACCACTTAGCAGCTGAGTGACCTCAGACCTAGTTATCTAACCTCTGGGAGCTGTAACTACTTCTCTGGACACAGGAGTTCATAATAGTGACATCCTGGATAAAGGGTTAAGGGATTATGTGTACTGAGTACAGTTTACTTTGAAATGTGAAAGTGGAGTGGAGATGGATAGATGAACAATTATACGATAAACCTACACAGTAAATGTCAACTGAAATTCAGATCCATGAGTATTTACTATAACAGTGTTTCAGCCAGGCTTGTGGTGCACATCTGTAATCCCAACACTTGGAAGGCTGAGGCAGGAGGAATCACTGAGATTTCAAGGCCAGCGTGGGCTACATAAGTGACTTCAAGGCCAGTCGAAACTATACAGCAAGATCCTGTCTCAAACAACCAAATAAAAAAGGGTTTCAGCTTTTGTACATGTCTGAAAAATTATACAAAATTACAGGAAGGACAATTACACTGGAAATGAAAAACAAAACAATGGAAACTGCTAGGTGTAATGGCCTACACCTGTAATCCCTGACCCCGGGAGACTGATAGGAGGATCAGTGAGTTGAAAATGGGCCTGCGCTTCATACAGTGAATTCAAGGCCAATCTGAACTACATAGCAAAACCCTGTCTGGGAAAAAAAAAAAAAAAAAAAAA